CACACACACACACACACATACACACTCCCCTGCACACATACACACACACACACACACACACACACACACACATGCACAGAGGATTTCGACCAAGAGGATGGTTTTTGGATGGCATGTGACGTGATTTATTATGTCACATGTCATATGCAAGAGGAGGTTTTGTAAGGAGTTAATTGTCACAGCTGTGAGATTCCTTAATCAGGGTTGATGTTTCAATATTCATTGTTATACTTTATATTTCCTTTTGTACGATTTTAGCTCGTAATGAGCGGAATTTTTCGTGGATAAAAACGCTTCGTGGAACACTTTGGATATATCACATCGACCACATATTTCATTACGAGTGCAGCGTATTCGGTTCCTGGGACAATGCCTCAACCTCAACAACTTTCGCACAAATATAAAATCCTCAACATGAGGGAGTCTCCCGCCGGTAGCACCATGGGCAGGCCACCTACCCGCTCCACCAGCCATCGCCTAAACCGGAGTTTCGACCTGGGCGAAGGTCCTTCCCGCTACACGGAGGCGGACGACCCTTTCTATAACGGCGACATCGACCGGATGGATAGAATCTCGGTCCAGCCGTATGGGGCCGGCCCTCCTAGAAGTCTTGACCGTAGTTTCGACGCCTCCTACGGCTACGACGTCCAGCAGCACGGCTCTCGGAACTTCGACCGCAGCTTCGACGACGGTTTCGGCCGAGAGTCGGACCGTTTCATGGACCGCAGCTTCAACTACCACAACGGCAGCTCCACCCGTGTGGGTCGTAGTTCTGAGCGGAGTTACGAGAAAGTGTCCATGTCCAAGGGCTACAGCGGCGGCGCCAGCGGGCCACCCCGGGTGGCAGCCACCATGGATCGAGGTCGCATGCCGCAGTCTAGGTCGTTTGGATCTGGATTTTCGAAATCTCCGAGAGATAGGCCACCTGTGTTTCGTACCATGGTAAGCGCAACACTCCTTTAGTGGTCGTCCTTACGACAGCAGGTGGTTGGTGCAAGTGCTTTGGTGGGGTCTGCTTCGTCCATTTTCTCTATTGTATGAGTGCTATCTTACTCTTTCTTTTCATGGCAAAATGCAGCTATTCCTGATCCTCTAGCCGCGTCCTGCAATTTTGCTGACTGTATCATTAGGTCAAACCTTTCTTGCAAGACTTGAATGTTTATGCATTAGCCACATTAATGCCATTCCTTTACCTACTGTAAGCGGGAACGTTTAAGTATTTATTTATTCATACACATTATTTTAAAAGGTCAGCAGTTCGCATGAGTAATTTCACCAAGAAGTTTTGACGGGTCCCATATCAAAAATAGTATTGTCGGTTTAAATGAGAAACTAAAGGACGAAAAAATAACAAACGCAAGTTTTGTTTTGGGTTTTTATCTGCCCTAAGTTTGTAAATTAAACTAACCATACTGTTTTCGGTGGCTGCCTTATGTTTGCTCAAGTCGGAACAATTCAGTGTATTAGCTCTTAAATAAATACTGCTGACCAGGCCCAAAAATCTTATGATATGAAAACATTCTATCTATTCTTTCTCTCAACTACGCAGTCCTTTACAGCATTTTTTAACCCCCGAACTATCCCAAGCTTGAATATTTACGCCGACCGTCGGTCAAGCGGTGGGTAATAATGTCCTGTTTTTGTCCACGTAACAAGAAGTCCATCCACCCGACCTCTTGCTCAGCCACCCGACCATCGTCCCCATTAGTCATTAGTTCCATCTATCCTCCCATCCGTGGACAGGCCCGTGTCATGACGATATACCGTCTGACCCTTCTTATAAACCTTGGCCCATCTACACCGACTCTTATATTCTGACGGCTATGGTGCTATGTGTAATCTTTTCTTCTGAAGTTTTTTTAAAAGTGGTCTATGGGTTATGTTGTTGGGCTCGCGTCCGAAAGGTCATCGGTTTGAGTCCTATCTGGGGAACGACGTTTTGTCCTCCCAAAAGTCACTTAATATGAAATTTTCTCCACTTTACCCAGGTGGGAATAGGTTCCCAGCTATACAGATACAGCAGGAGAACTAGTCAGTTTGTTAATGTTTGAGCACTTAACAGGAAAGAATAGGAAACTATGGGCAGAAACAGAGAAATAAAACAATGTGTGATATTGGTATGAGAGATTTGTAAACTGTTAGGCTGAACTCCAGCCCATCCACCTCCAAATTTAAAAAAAGCAAATACACACACACACACATACACACACTCACACACACATACACACACACACACACACACACACACA